TTGTTTCGGGTTCGTTTGCGTATATCCAGGATTCGTCACCTGATACGATGTTGTATACAGCATTTGAGGATCCTGCGTGGAATCTTTCGAGAGTTCTGACGCACCAAGTAACGCGAGCCGCTTTTTTGCTCTTCACAGAGCGAATGCGGTATCCATCGGGAAAACAACTTTTTTACACCTAATTGTTCATGCAAGATTATTTGTATTTGACTCATGCCAATGTCTAAAGTTGCCTGAATTTCGCGGTATGTCACATGTCGATATTCCTCAATCAGCTTACGCACAACGTTTTCTTGGGTGACTGCAGTTTTTGGACGACCTTGACGGGGATCATCACTGAGCTTGACACGTCCACGTTGTAATTCAGCAAACCAGCGATAAATTGTGGTTTTGGATGGGGCTTCATCACCAAATGCAGAAATCATCCGGTCAACACACTGTTTTTGTGTTAAACCACTTCAAAAGTCATAATAAATCATCGCTCTTGAATTTTCTCGAGTCAATTCCATTTTCTCAACGACTAAACAAGTTTGACAAAACCTTGTGACAAGATCGAGAATTTTTTTTTAAATAAATAAATGGTATTCGATTTTTAAAACCAAGGAGTTTTCAATTAAAAAGATTTTAATATGACAGGAACAGTGGAAATATTCCATTCCCGATACTTTTAGTGCAGCCCTCGTACCACGCAGTTACAACCGCGGCTGTACAACCAGAATATCTCCGGGTTATTGAACTGATCAGGACGATGTCACATTCTTCTTAGCTTCGTCTATAAAGACTCAAAATCTTAAAACAAGTATTTTTACAGTTCATAGCTACAAATTGTTGAAGTATAATATTATATTTGCTCCGACAATACTATTCCAAAGATGTTTACACTCGCAATTCCCTTATCTTTAAATTACATTCTATTATAATAACAACGTTCTATTTTTGCTCACAACATTACTTTCACTTTGTGATATAAAAGAATTTATTCATTCTGCAATCTCTTATATAGCTTCTGCTAAAATGTATATATAAGTACCTATATAAATTACATTTAATATTTTATTTTTCAATCATATGAAATTAAAATTTTACGAAAGGCCTCAAATGCTGCTAATTCTCGAAACTAGTGATTTTTTTGGTTGTTAACTATTTTTAAATGATTATTTCATTGTAGAATTTAATTTTATATTGTATTGTTTAACGAATAATATATTGTAGGTCTCATTCGGAATGTGATCACAGTTCGAAGTATAAAAAGAAGTACTTATGGGTATAATTATTATAAGGTGGGTGGACCATGGAAGGCCATGCTCCTTCGAAGGTCAATTAATAAAATGTCGTAGTTATTTCCATGTGATGACAAATTCCTTCTACTTACACAAACACCCATCAAACTGAAAATCACAGACGCGGCGGCGAGTCGCTCGCGCTACTATTTTGGCAGTACGGTCCCTCGCTACATTGATTTCGGGAATCGACGACGTAACCTCAAATGGCTGAGCAAGATCCTCCGTCATGCCGAAAATATTGCAGCATTAATTTTGAAACAAATATATGGTAATGTTGAGGATTAATGCTAAGTACTATGTTAGACGAAAACATGATTCCGTAAAATTTTCTCGATAGAAAAAAAAATCCAAAGTTACCTCCAAATTGAACAATAAACCGCTGTTATTCATATGTTATTCATATCGGCGTCCTGAAGCTTGGAACCGGGCGGCAGGAAACAAGCTTCAGGACGCCGATAGTTTGGGTAATTTCTTTTTACAGTGAAAGTAATGGTAATTAAAAAAAAAACATAAGCCCTGCGTTATAGTTAGTTCAGTTAGTATGCAAAGTTTCATGATCTTATTTAAAGTATTCTATGAATAACAGCGGTTTATTGTTTAGTTTGGAGGTAATTTTGGATTTTTTTTTCTATCGAGAAAATTTTACGGAATCATGTTTTCGTCTATTTATTTTTATTTATTTTATTTAATTAATTACAACCTTTTTTTACATATGTTCATTGATTCCCTGGTCCCTGAGCTAGTACTTAGCATTAATCCTCAACTTTACCATATATTTATTTCGAAATTAATGCTGCACTATTTTCGGCATAACGGAAGATCTTGCTAAGCCATTTGAGGTTATATTTCCCCTTAAAGTAAAGTGGGTGTAGCATGGAAGGCCACTCCTAACAAAACAGTTATTTTTCGTTTATTTACTTGATAAATGAAACTAACAAATATTTAAGTATAATACTTTGTTTTATTACGTAACATATAAACCAATTCTTTTTATTGTAGATTTAATCATTATTTATTAAACTTTAGTGTTAAATGACTGATTTATTATAATGGCCTTCTAAGGAGCCTTGTTCCTAGCAAGGCCATTTGGAAGAGTTCAATGAAACTTAAGCTCAATCAATATTGATTAAATCTGCAATTTAAAAAAAGTGGTTTATATGTTACGTAATAAAACAAAGTATTACTTAAATATTTGTTAGTTTCATTTATCCAGTAAATAAACGAATAATAACTGTTTATTTGTTAGAGTGGCCTTCCATGGTACACCCACCTTACTTTCTTTATACAAGTTAAGGGTGACAAACGTTCACACAATCCACCGATAGTAAGTGAATGCTGTATCCCGTAGAAACATACAACGATCGATTTAAAATTAAGATGCAGGTGTGCATTCCACTGGTATTCTGCGAAATCATGCCACTTCCCAGATTGAGTTGACAACATCAGTGTGCTCTAACTCACATGTTCAGGTCTAAAACTATCTATTTGGGCGTATCAATAAAATTATGTTATACTAAGCTGAAATGTCGTATATCACATATCACAGAGACAGTATTTATAATCCATACGATAATTATGGGGGCGTGTGGTAGTTTGCTTCATATAACGAACAATATTATTTTTCTTACAGTAACATTTTATTGTTTTTTTTCCTAAATTATCCAAAAATTACAAACTAATACGTTAATACAGCAATATGTACAGTATGTAAGTATACTGATAAAAATTAAAACCTTCGTGTATATCGCCAAAACTTGCATTGCAACCGTTAACGTGATGCACTTTTTTATTAGTTCTTACTTCAATACCTTCAGTAACTTGACGAATGATTAAATTGGTTCACATTATATAATCTGTAATTTTAAGGTGGCTTGTTAAGCCGTCGTCTTGGCACTGTGAAGGAAAGACTACTTGAAAATATAAGCTTCGATGGAAAGTATAATGCTCTCCCTATCGGGGCTTTATCTTTACATAGCTAGTTAGTTTCGCTACTTAGCTTAGTCGCTTGTAATCTGCACAAAAGTACCCTCTTCCCGCCCTTCTTTCTAGTCGAGCTCCCTAATTGTTAGCGTTAATCTATTAAAATCTCGTTAATCTACAAATAAATAAAATTAGTGTTTGTAATGTCAAAAGAACAACTTTTTACTAAATTCGTATGAACTTATATACGGTACTTATAACAAAAAAAAAGCAATCTTTAAAATTTGTGTCTGTCTGTCTGTTTGTTCTGCTGGTCCGATTTTGAGAGAACTTTCACCAGCAGATAGCTAATGTTATAAGAAGTAACTTATGCTACTTTTATTTTAGTAAAAGGATTCCGCGCAAAAAATTCCATGTACCTAATCCAATCGTAATAATCTCCACGCAGGCGAAATCGCGTGGAACTGCTAGCCTACCGTAAAACATAACTTGTAGCTAATATATGTACGTATTTGATAAATTTTACGTCTGTCTAGTCTGTTTACGATTAAAAACGACAACCTTTAGTTTGTAACAATGAGCGTAACAAAAGTAAGTACGAAAAATATTGTAACTTGTACTAAAATTATAATATATTTGTGATGTTTTTGGTATTTTTGTTTATTGACAAATAAAATTATTTGACTGCTTTGTTGGTCTAATAAACGCGACTACTGTTCATGAATATTTGGGTAATCCCGAGTCGGGTTAAAAAACAGTTGTTGAGATTTTTCTGTCAAGAAATTCGGAGTCAAAGTTTGCGGTATTTCAACCCCTTACCTCGGAAAGCACGTAAAGCCTTTGTCCTTATCCTGATCTCCCTCCGGCATGAGTGAAGGAATAGAGAGTGCACCTGTGTTTCCGTATACACTTTGGGTACTATAATTCTGACCTACTCAGATGTGAGAAAGGCCGCCGTGACCGAAATTTGATCTGGAGGACATTATTTTTGTTTGTATAAACGGTATAAAAATAAGCTTTAAAAATAAGTAAATTATTAATATATTAAAAAAAAATCTACTGTAGCAGCGATATAGTAGTTAGTTAGTTAGAATTCAATTTCAGGTGATACCTCGAAAATTTTGTGGTTTTTCTATTTAACATATTTTTTTAAGTTTTATAGATTACAAACCAAAATTTTGGTATATGATTTTTGACTATATGACCTTGGATTGCATAAAAGGAAAACACGATATCATGTAATTTTCTCGATAGAAAAAAAATTGCAAAGTAGGCTCTAATTATTTACATTTCTCGATGACACCACAATATTTTTACGAATAAGTTCATGGAATTACTTTTAAGGCATAGTAAATAATCATATCTAAGTTTTCATAAACCAGTTTTTTAAAATCCATAACGAAGTTTTGTTAAAATAAATAAAAATGTTGTTTGGCGCTTAGGTAGTTTTTTTCCGAGCGCTTGCTCGGTATGGCTATCTCATAATTTGCGTACTATGAAGTCATTGCATCACTTTCGTTTTGACACACCCTCAGTCGTCCGTTAGTTTCACCGACAAAAGAATAAGCCAAACCCCCAAAACTTCGATTCAGTTTCAAGGCATCCTCTTAAGCGCTCTTTTTTTTGCGAGCGTGTCGTAATGGTACTATTGCCATAAAATTATAACACTCAGAATATGAAGACGTAATTGTCGATTATTCGCACTTAAAAATCCGTCCAGCCATTTTGGCTATCCTTCCTGCTAGATCTAGTTAGGTAATAAAATGAAAACCTAATGTATTTTTTGTTTTATTACAGCTCAAAAGACTCTCCAGATATTTAACATTGAGATGAAATCGAAAATGAAGGCGCACACAATGACCGAGGACATCATGTTTTGGAAGTGGATTTCACTTAATACGCTGGCTTTGGTGACCAAGGTATCCGTTTACCATTGGTCGATGGAGGGCGATTCCACGCCAGTTAAGATGTTCGACAGGCACGCGTCACTCGTTGACTGCCAGATTATCAACTATAGAACCGACCCAAAGCAACAGTGGCTATTGCTTGTTGGTGAGTTATTATTATGATGCGTTATGTGTACTTAACAATTACCGCTTATATTCAAATTTTTGTCGCTGTAGCTAAAGTCCCCTAGGAACTTATTATGTTGCGTATCGACTTCGCGCGGCAAACCATCGAACATTGGCTCGCGCGGCAGCCGCGTACAGTGGATACTGTGTTGCCGCTTGCCGCGCGCGGCAATTCGAACTAATGTTGGTTAATATAGCGCCATATTGTAGCGCGCTATCTTTCCATAGCACAGAGCGCGTGCTATGTAAGTCCCTCTGACGCTATGGCGCTTTAGCGCTGTTAATATCTAGGGGCAATTAACTCTAGCAGCAGCGCTATTGGGGGTGAACGTGTGACGCAAACACTATTCATCGCGCGCGACCTAGTTGTTTTAGACGTTATTTAGTTAATGTATACTGTATATTTATAAGTGATCGAAGGACACAGTTCTCTGCTGCAAAAGTAGCCTAACTAATGTTTATAAATGTATATAAAACATAGATACAACAGTAATAGTGTATGTTAATAGTTGGTTTTTGTATATTTAGCCAATATTTTTTTATATTTAAATTAAAATAACGTTTACATCGATTATAGGTAGTGGTAGCCTGAAAAGTATGTTTGAGTGTTAATTGGTTTTTCTTTACTGTTGATTTTATTTTAGTCTTAAATGCGACTTATTACGAAATAATGTTCTATCTAATGAACGTCATGTAATGTAACGTGTTACGAAACTTATCGTGCTGCAAAGCTTAACGCTCTTGCCGGCTTCCCACATTTCTTATAAATATCGCGCTATAACATAGCGTATTTAATAGCGCGCTAGAAATTTATAGTTTATAGTCTACAGCGTGCTATTGATTTATAGTTGTTTTGAACAATTTTAATTCGAACATTGGCGCGCTCGAAAGTGACGCGCGACTGACCAATCCGTGTCGGTTTTTGACGGCGTGGCAAAGGAATCTCAGCGCGTTCTGCTCGCGCGGTTGGGACGGTCGTTTATATATTTTAGTTGGCGCGAAAGAGGATGGAATTACATCGGATCTTCTGAAAGCGGGTGGAACACCGGTACTTGAAGTCCTTCAGAAGCTCTTCAATTCCGTCCTCCATGGTGGCACTACTCCAGAGGCGTGGAGCAGAAGTGCGGTGGTCTTGTTCTTTAAGAAAGGCGACAACGCTCTCTTGAAGAACTGCAGACCGATTTCCCTTCTGAGCCGCGTCTACGTGCTGTTTTCGAGAGTCATTACGAATCGTCTCGCACGCAGACTCGACGACTTCCAGCCTCCCGAACAAGCCGGTTTCCGAAAAGGCTTTAGTACCATAGACCACATACATACCCTGCGGCAGATTGTACAGAAGACCGAAGAGTACAATCTGCCACTTTGCCTGGCGTATGTGGACTATGAGAAAGCCTTTGATTCCGTCGAAATTTGGGCGGTGCTACAGTCCCTTCAGCGGTGTCAAGTTGACTGTCGGTATATCGAGTGCTGAAGTGTTTGTACAGTAGGGCTACGATGGTTATCCGAGTACAGAACCAGAGTTCGAAACCTATCCAACTGCAGAGAGGTGTAAGACAGGGTGACGTTATATCCCCGAAACTCTTCACCGCTGCGTTGGAAGACATTTTCAAGCTACTGAACTGGAAAGGATACGGTATTAACATCAATGGCGAGTACATCACTCACCTTCGATTTGCCGACGATATAGTCCTAATGGCAGAATCGCTGGAGAACCTTAGCACTATGCTCAATGACCTCAATGGTGTCTCCCAACGGATAGGTCTTAAGATGAACATGGACAAAACAAAGATCATGTTTAATGTCCATGTCACACCTATGCCGGTAGTTGTTGGGAGCACTATGCTCGAAGTTGTTGACGAGTACGTTTACCTGGGACAAATAGTCCGACTAGGTAAGTCCAACTTCGACCGAGAGGTCAATCGACGGATTCAACTCGGCTGGACAGCGTTCGGGAAATTACGACATATCTTCTCGTCAGGTATACCTCAATCTCTGAAAAAAGTGTACAACCTGTGCGTGTTACCGGTGATGACTTACGGATCAGAGACGTGGTCCTTCACTGCTGGCCGTATGAGGACGCTCAAGGTCGCTCAGCGAGCTATGGAGAGGGCTATGCTCGGAATTTCTCTGCGTGATAGACTCAGAAATGAGGATATCCGCAGTAAAACCAGAGTGACCGACATAGCCCAACGGATTAGTAAGCTGAAGTGGCAATGGGCCGGCCATATAGCTCGAAGAACCGATAACCGATGGGGAAGAAAGGTTCTCGAGTGGCAGCCTCGTACCGGTAGGCGTAGTGTAAGGCGACCCCCCACTAGATGGAGAGACGACCTGGTAAGACATGCAGGAAGTCGATGGATGCAGGTGGCTCAGGACCGTGCTTTGTGGCGTTGCTTGGGGGAGGCCTATGTTCAGTAGTGGACTTGTGAAGGGCTGTAATGATGATGATGATGATGAAGCAACTTCTATGGAACAGTAAATGTAGTTATAGTCAATGACGTATTATATATAGACACGTCATGAACGAACATCGCGGCGCTTAAAAACGGCGAAAATACTAGAACTACTTATACGCGTGAAGAAAGAGAAAGAAAATATGACACCGTACGGCGGGATGCCTGTTGCTAGAGGGAGACAAATAACATCTTCAGTTGCTCATTGGTCGAGCGCATGAGTGACGTAGCTATCAGAGGCATATGGGGAAAAAAGGACATTCGATTTTCTAGAGTTTATAAACTAACCTTTTTCTTAAAAATAGCTTTCCTTGGCGTTTCAAAAATTGAACCTTCTTCTGACACTTGAACATGTTCCAAACTTGTTGGTGATGAAATAATATTTTGTTCTTCTTGCTAAAAAAAAAAAGTATAAAAAATCCGGTTATTTCATGAAAACCAATACATAATGTGTTTAAAAATGATGTATAATTTTACCATAATAATAGGAATTGCAGTCTTTTTTATTCTTCGATAATTTTTCTTCGTCACATATATGTCGCTAGCTGAGAAATGCTTTGAGCAAACTTTAGTATAGGGCGTTGGTAGCTAATCGTTTTCACGTCTTTGACTTGACCCTTATTATGTTAAGCCACTTTTCTTTTAGTTGCCCATCTCTAGGCAATATAAAATAAAAAGGAAAACTATAATTAATATTCATGACATAACAAGTACATATTATATTCAAACAATATTATAAACTCTATCAAAAAAAACACTAGTGTAATAGTATCCCAACCTCCTCTAACGGCACGTGACTACTAGCTAGCGGCGCATGCGCCGGCCGCCATTAGACGGCGTCGTCGAATAAAATGAAATGAAAATAGGTAGTTTTGTGAACTTACGCATGAAATGACACATTTTTGTCTTTAACTTTTGCGGTATAATTTGTACATCGTCTGAAAACACACGACGGCATGTTTTCTTTATGTTTTGCACAGGTTTACACACACGAATCACGATTTAATAAATTAAAAACAAATGTAGCGTCGCGCGACAGGTTGGTGCGTGACTAAGCGCGATGTGGCCAATTGGCTTCATTTCATGTTGCCATTTTAGAGTGCGGACAACGTATCTATAAGTTTATACATCATTGGTTATTGAAAAGGACCAGGTTCGCGAGTCCTCTCAATCCGGCCGCGAAGGACCAATTGAAAAGGAACTCAGGTCGGACGTCCTCTCAATCCGGCCGCGAAGGACCAATTGAAAAGGACCAGGTCGGTGTCCCTCTTGATCCTGAAAAGGACCAATTGAAAAGGACCTAGCGGATCGGGTACTAAGAAACAGGAATCGAGGCTTCTCTCGATCCGGCCTCCTATCACGCCTACGTTGGGTTCGGGAACAACGTATGTGATCTCCGCAACGGAGTAACACACTAGGGCGATAACCTCTTCCTTTTCAGCAAGTAGGTTCAGACGGGGATTACGGGTCTTCCGAAGTCGTCCCGGTCCCGACGCCTTAATTCTTCGATGTGGACTGTATAACTTAAAGGATCTTGGGAATGAAACAGCAATTATCTTCAAACCGTTCCGTGAGAGAGTAATCACTTTTCCCTATACTGCTGGTTTTTCACTTTTCTTGAACTTTTTCCCGGATTTTCTTATTTATTTCCGAACTATTTCCTTGAATATTTCCCGAACTTTTTCCCCGAACTATTCCCGAAGGATTCCCGAAGGATTCCCGAACTTCCCCGAACTTCCCGAACGAATTGCAATAAAACCCGTTCACTAAGCTACCCCAGAGCTATACGCGAAAGTGAGCCGCGCCATCTGCGCGCTTGCGCAACTTAATTACATGAATTTGTACTATTACTCTCTCACGTTTCACTCAATATCTTTATTTATTCAAATCATATACAAATACAATTTATCAATATAGGTAGTACAAAACAATATCTACACCATGATATACATCATATCTTCATATCATAAAAAACCTTTTATTTATTAAACGAAAACTGCCTATTTTACTCACAAGTTCGAAATCGAAATTTCTTAAATATTTAACACAGAAAGTTAAAACAATGTTTCTCACTTGAATTTATACATAAGCTAACCAATACAATAGTTTAATTTACATTTTTTCTATTTATTTCACTATTTAAAACACTTTTAAATTTCTTATACAAAACTATCATTATTTCACTTATACACAGGAATTTTCACATGAAAATAACACAGAATTTACCTTTTTTAGCACGTACAATTAACCTGAAATATTTTACAAGTAATTTTTACATAAATCACTGAATTACAAACATTTTAAATTTTTACATATTCGGCCTCCTAAGGGCGTGGCCTAGCGTGCGTCTATGAACTCACACTATTTGAACAACTAACTTTTGCACGGCTCTCGGCTATCAGAAAAAATGAAAGTCTGATATACACCAATTTTGACCATATTAGGCAAATTAAATGCTTTTATACAATTTTCGAACTGTATGAAACTATCTTTAATCAGATAACAATATAAATGAATGTTCTCATTA